CAATTTAATAGCCTAAATCCTGGGAGCTGCTTATCTTCGTGTGCTTTTCTTAATAGATTGAACAACTCTTTTGCCATGAATATTTGTATTATGACAATCATGGCCCATATATAGAGATGTCCCATGTAGACAACAAATATAAAGCCACCAATCATCCAAATAGTTGAATAAGCACGGACCAACATTGACTTGTACTTATTTTGATCTTTTGCCAGTAACTTGGTTCCATTTGCTTGGTCAACATCACCTGGAACCTCATTTGAACCTTTACGGCGCCGAAYTCGCCCATGCATAACTGGGACATTACCGTCGCTCTCCTTTATCATGATTCTACAAGACTATGTACTCAACAGAAAACATAAACAGCGTAATGCAGTAAACATGATTTAGAGGGCTCTCTGGTCTGTCTATCCTCTGGTCCTTCAAGACGACTATCTTCAGAATCCTATTCTGGATAAGGCTAATCCTTTTTTTTGGATAATGCTTATCTTATTCAGTTATCATGAATTATTGCCTATATAAGTAGTGTTTCAGGTAGAGAAAAAGATACGAGAGCAAATAGAGAATTTATTGTAAACACATAGATTCAGATACATCTCATGAGAGTCGATTAGGGTTCTTGAGAGTTTTTAATTTCCAATTCAATAAAGAAAGCACCGTCGATTTCTATTTCATCTTTCTTCTACAAATTTCTCTTGAATTTCCTTATTAAATTGTTCTATTGTTAGATCTGGGATTTAACACATTTCATGTATCAAATCTCAAAAAGTTCTTAACCGATGAAACATTGGTCATACCGTTGGGAGATGTACAAATTAATGATCATCTGCCCTTCGTTGAAAAACCAATAGAAATCATGGATAGAGAAGTCGAGCAGTTGAGGCGTAGCAAAATCCCAATTGTAAAAGTTCATTGGACTTCGAGGCATGGACCGGAGTACACGTGGGAAAGAGAGGATTTTTTGAAAAGCAAGTATCCCCACTTGTTCTCAAACGAGTCATGATCTAGGAATTGACGAATAAAATTTCGGGACGAAATTCTTCTGGCATGGGGAGACTGTGACATCCGTCATTTTGGAGCATCAGGTTAGCACCTTTATAGAGTTTCTATATTTAGAATTATATTTTATTAGGATCTAGTCATGTTGATTTGAATTCATCTGGCTTAGTTCCCAAAATGTAGTTCAGAAAACCTTGTTTCGACATGTAACTGATAAAGTTAACTTATGTAATGCCAAATATGTTAAAAATGCTCCAAATATAATAAAGTTGATATTATAAAGTCCAAATTAAAATATAAAAGTCTCATTTGAATGTCCAAATAATTTTACCAAAAAATGTGAAACTTTGATTTAATAATGATATTTTTATCAATATTTGACAAATTGTATTTTGTTATAAATTTAAATGGACTATTTTGTTTATATGAAAAATAAAAAAATTTACGGTTTTGGGCTCTATTAAGGCCAGCCCATTTTCTTTCTTTAAACCCACATATAAATACCCCACATATAAAAAAATTTATGGTTCTGATTTTTCTTCTAAAACGTACTTTGATGAGTTATCTTTCTAATGCAACTAGTCTCACTCAAAAATATTATGTTTTGAGCTTTCAAGTTCTTGATACAAGATTATGGTGCAAAAAGAGCATTGCTGACAGAATCTTGCATGTATCTTAAATCGGTTATATCTTCTTCAAAACTCAATGGAAATGGGTGATTCTTTTTCTGGAGGTTACCCTTATGTGTTAGCTTTAAAATAAAGTTAAAATCACTGAAAAATGATGAGTTTAGGCCCCCTAAATGGCCGTCACTCGAAAAGTGTGCAATCTGTCTTGGGGACTGTCTCACTCAAAGTTGTAGGGTATTAATGAGTGCCTTAAACCCATCCAAAATTCTTGATATTTGGGAAACATCTGTTTAACTCATTATTATTGATGATATAAAAATTTAGACACAAAATGACTTTTCGAAGTTTTTTTTTACAGTGATTTGTGAGACCAAAAATTCTAGAAACATAATTTATATTCTGTCCAAATGACCGCTTTTTGTGCAAAGGATTTTGATTTTAAAATATATAATTTCTGGACTATTTTTAGAGCAAATAATATAAGTATCAACTTTAATTCATAAAAACTTGTTGGCATTACATAAGATATAATTTGACTTTATCTTTATTGAGACCCGTTAGGTGATCCAATTATTGGATTTCAGACTGTTTAGGAAGGTTAGGCCAGACGTTTAACGCTTCAAACGTCATCAAGTTCTTGGATATTCATCAGCTAACTTGTGAGTATTCACGACCCACATTTAATGCTTTTTGTTTATTTAAACTGGGGGAAAATCATGAAGTTATGCAAACTATACTGTTATTTATAAAATTGTGGGACTAAAGAACTGTTTAGTCAAGATTTGTTTATGTCATGAAATATTGACAGTTTTGCACTATGATATAAATGCTAAATTGATGTACTTCAGAGTATGTTTCCAAATAAAGTCCCCGTCCATAAACGCTACTTGTTAACTCGGGCATGTCCCGGGGCCGTGGTAATTGTGGATAGCCGCTATTGTGTTGACAGTCATACCCAGAAAGGGGTGCACATTACCTATGTTTTTATTAGTCTAATATGTGGAATTTGGACCATCGCTGAATCAGTACTATTACGAACTGTGGTATCTAAGTGAGTGTACGGGCTACATATGGTCGTTCATAAAATAATGGGGCACATTGGTCAGGAAAGGCTCAATAAGCGTCTCAAGTTTTAAAACATCGTTGTAGATTTAAATTTATTATGTGCAAAAGTTATGTATAGGTTTGCAAGAAATGATTTATGCATTATAATGTTTTGTGCATATGAAAACCCATGAACTCACCAACTCTTTGTAGTTGACGTTGTTTTATATTTCATGCTTTTCAGGATTTAAGTAAGAAATGGAGTTTTTGGAGCATATATGTGGCGACACCGATTAAGTTCATTTTGTATCTTTTGTAAAGAAGTATTCAAACACCAACTTGGTTATGGATGTAATCTCGTAAAACTTATGGTGTTATTTATTGTCTGTTGTTGTGACACACTTACCTGTTACATCTCGTGTTTCCGCTTTAACGAGGTGCGACACCCCAGCTTTTCAATTCATCTATATAGAAGAACTTGAATCTTGGTCATTAGCTTTATCAACAGCTCTGCGACATCTGATTTCTGCCTTACAAACTCAATCCAAGTATATCTAGTAAATTCATCAATAAGAACTAGAATATACTTCTTACCAGACAGGCTCTTCACAAAGATTGGATAATAGAGGTCCACATGAAGCATATGCAGAGGTCTGACGCAAGGAAACCCTTTTCGTGTGTCGAAGACTAGGAAGACGAATAACCCCAAATAAATATAAGAAAAAAAATGAAAAATTAGAAGGGGGTCGAACTTCTGATCAGAGGTTGAATCGATCAGATCTCTTCGTTAGTTGGGGGAAGAATCCGCCCTATTTCTTTCGTAGGAATATGATTCGAAATGGAAAATTTCAACACTATTGGATCAAATGATAAAGGCATTGTTGAGAAAAAGATCTTTGCCGTATGAGATGCTCTTTGAGTTTGCCCATCCCACAAGCAAGACAGAGATGTTCATTTTCGAACTTTACCATTGGTAGTCCATCAACCAAAATTATTTTTAACAAGCTTCTCAATGTTTGAAAACTTAAGATGAGACAACTTGTGATGCCAGAGCCAGACTTCTCCACTCTTGCGAGATATAAGAAAAAGGGTCTCTGTATCATCTCTTGGTGAGAAGTTTATAAGATACAAATCACCCATACGATTGGCTCTTTGCATCTCTTGACCAGATTCTGACACTAATGAACAAAACTATCTTTGGAAGTTGACATGGTAGCCAGAATCACAAAGTTGACTTATGCTGAGCAGATTATGCTTTAGCCCAGACATATAAGAAACCTTTGAGACAGAAACCTTACCTTCATGGAGAACTCCATACCCCTTTATTTGTCCTTGCTTGTTATCACCAAAGGTTACACGTCTTCCAGATTTGTCCTTGCTTGTTATCACCAAAGGTTACAGTAACCCTTTGTTGCTAGTCATGTGCCTTGAACATCCAGAATCAAGGTACCAGATGTGCACATGTTGTTTCTGCAAAACAAATTAGAGATATTTAGGTACCCATTTCATAATGGGTCCTTTATGATCAGGCTTAGGGGACTCAGATTTATGTTTGGGGGAAGGATCTGCCTTATCACCCGATTTACCAGACTTAGAAGCTGGTTTGCCAGATTTGGCCTTGGGAACCTGCTTCTTCTGGGTCTTTTTAGACTTCTTTTTAGGTGACCCATAAAGGATGAAGTTAGGACTTGAAAGGTGTGATTTTAATTGTCGCAGCAAAGACAGACATTTGCAATTATGAATACATTTTTTGTGACAACAAGATTCATTAGATTCATAAAACTTGGGATTTTTATTATTACAATCATTCCGTGGATTAGTCGTTCGATTGAAATCCCTATCTAGTTTAGATTGCTTATTAGATCATCCTTAATCTTCTCATGCTTCTGTTTCTTGTTCCTCTTTTTTCCCTTGGCTTTCAGAGGCCTCTCTGAAATAGAGGAATTAAATTTAGAATTAGCAGCCCAATTTTCTTTTTGTTCCCGATTGAACCTAACAGACTTTGGAGGATTGGATACAGAGGATGCGAACTTTAGCTCTTTATCCTTCTTATCCTTTTCTAGCTCAAGGAAATATTTAGCTTTTATACACATATCCATGAACTCAAGACACATGGAAACCTTTTTCCTCTGCTCCATTATTGGAATAGATTTATTAGGGATCCCATTTGGAAGTTTGTCAACTTTTGGTCCTGGCACCACTATCTTTGTCTCAAGATGCTCTGTATTCAAGTCCTCCTCTAGCTCAGAGTCAGAGTCAAGAAAATCTTTTTCAGGACTTAGAATGTTGGAGTTTTCATTAAGCTCTTGTGGTTTTTGTAATGATTGAAGAATTTCCTCTGAGTTTTGATTGAAAAATTCTTCATCGAAGAGATCTTGCAATTTGTTCAAATCTTGAGATTCCTATGGATAGATATCAAAGCCTTCTTCGTCCTCTTGCATAAATGAGGAGCATTGAAAAGTATTTTTGGAAATTTTCTCTGGATGGTTTTGTTGAGATATAGAGAAATAATTCAAGGTCTTAAGCAGTCTTGTTCAAAGACTTGTCTTACTTTCTCTATGAACTCTTCCAATAAGCTTGGATCCATAGTTTTGAAAAAATCTTCTTCAGAAACACTTTATCCCTTGTCTCTGTAGATTCAGTTTTGACTTCAT